CATTATTTCAACATTTAAATGTTGCTGAATGTAATTTAGATGTGTCAGACTCATAAAGTGCAGGCTCTAGTGGGAGTTCATTACTGAAAAAAGATACATTCACCAAGACTTTTTTGGCACCATGCCCAAACCCTCAGCATTTTGCTTACCTCATGTGTGGCTTTTGTCTATTTGCTCTACTATTACATCCATGCTGAAGTCATCTCTAACACATTCCTTTTATTGCTTCCCATTTGTTATAATATCCCTTTACCCCAGTCATAGGATGTGTATATATATTTGTATATTTAAGGGAGTGATAGCTCTTCCAGAACATAGAGTTGTTGTAACTAGAGTAAACAAAAAGCTTCCGTGAAGATGCTGGAAGATATGAGAAGGCAGCTCCTTTTAGTGACTCCCTGGCTGATGTAACAAAACCTGATAATTACCATCTCCTAATCTGAGTGTTATGACCAGTGCTACTATGTGGTTATTAAAATCTATAAAAGATAAGCACTTTCTTCCCCTAATTGGAAGGCTTGATCCATGGACATTGCACACAAGGCAAGCTTTTCTTTCTCTTTAGTCCAATTTAATCTGTAATGTAAAGGAAAAACATTTTGAAAAGCAATTTAAAGGTTTGGACTACATGATTTTGTGACACATTTCTATGATAATAGTAAAAGCAACTCTGAAGAAAGTCTTAAGCAGAATCGCAGAACAGGTGTAAAAAGACACTTATCCCTTTGATACATGTGCACTCACACAGCATGGTGGGAAATGAATGACTCAAACTGCAAGGGATTCACTTGTTTTCATCATTTATCTCAGTGAGAAAAGTTTTAATATGGTTGTCTTACAAATATTAATAAGCAGAATTTAATCCACAGCTGTGCTCTAAGGGGCCAAAAGGTATCTACCCATAAGCCTCTATACAACATCCTTCTCCTTTTTTAAGGTGCAGGAATTCTGTAATGGCTTTGATCCTGGCCTTAACCTTTGAAAAACGGAACCGTTTCTCCTATAGGCGGTTTCCTTGATTCCAATGCCTTTGTGCAGCTTCTTTATGACATGATCACAAACCAGGCTGGCAGTAAGGGCAATGATGCCAGCTAAGGACAAGTAGGAAAAGATTCACGGGTAGAGATAACGTCTTTTTTTGGACGTGCACAGAAAAAAATTGATAAGCACATGCTTGACAGCTCGCCTTGCTTATGTTGACCATCTGATTTGAAGAGAAGACACCTACAAGAGAAGACATGTTGTAGACACCTACAAAGTGACCTTGCAGACACTCCAGACATGAAAAATGACAAATTGGAACTGTAAGCATGTTTCGGGCACTTAAATATGGCCTCACACATTTGTATCACATTTTTCTGTGATTTGATCTCATGGTGTGGGAAGAAGACAGCTCTGTGTGGATGCTGAGAGGGAATATGTAAATACACTTTCTGTCTTAACAATGAACTTCTAGCATATACCATCTTGATGTCACAATTACAAAGCAAACCATGATGTTACACCTTTTTTAACCATTCCTCCATGCATGCACTGGGGGCAGTTCTGAACCCCTTCTCCCTGCTCTTGGTGAAACCACAAGTTCCAAGTGCTCTAGACTGGTTTTCTGGAGGGGGAGGCAAATGACAGCTGCCTCCATTCCCCAAGCTATCTGCCTGCAGCGGTTACATCTGCATGTGGAGTCTGTAAATCCTTGATCTCTGAGCAATCTAGGATTAGCCATGAGAAAGAAGAGCTACAGAATAGGCTTTTTAAAATAGCATATCGTGTATTCATATATGTAGAGTTAGGGGTTGGATTAAGCAGTCTTCCTTGCTAGACCTTCCTTTTCTCTCCTTTCCCTTCTCTTACAGCATGACTCAGTGCTATCACTTACATTCTTCTGGTAACTTACTCTCTTTTCTTGGCTTAAGGCTCTATAGTAGTTAAATAACTTCTTCTGATCCCATGCTTTAGAAAAGAAAACCATTTTCTTACCCAGGTAGCTTTTCCAAACTGGTGGCCCAAGCAAATTCCTTTGAAGAAAAATCCTTCAAAGCTATTTTGTCTTTGCCAGTTTTTGTTTATTTGTTGATTGTTTCTCGAGGATTTCACCTCTTCTTCTTTCCTTTAGTTTAACTCTGGCCATACAGGAGGATTAATATCACCAAGATAAAATAAAGTGCTCATGATATAATTCTCCGCACCAAATTCCTGTAGTTCCTCCAATGTGGAGAAAGAATTCCAGGCCATATAAACATTTTTCCTTTATAGAATATAACTAAAAGTCTGATCTCCATTTGAAGTATTTTTGTATAAAATAACTATTACTTTGCATGTGTTTTCTTATCAGTTGTATCATATCCTTAACTTTGCCTAATCAGTTTAATCTGCCTTATGCAAAATAATTTTCTTTCCTTCAAGTAAGTTAGAATGAGATGCATCACTTTCAAAAGTGATAACACATCGCCACCACCACCGTCTGAACACTACCTTTCTAAATATTTTTTTTTCTCTTAGTTCACTCAGACTTATAACCAGGTTAGATTTTTATTTTATAATTTAATTCTGGGAGATGGATGTACTGTACAATGCTAAGGTGTCATTGTAGCAATAGGTAGTGTCAGAAATCACAAGGAGATGCTGAAACACCTCATACTTTCTTCTCCCTGGATAAAATTTTGTCCCTCTAGAGGCCTACATAGAGACTATTTTCTATGTGAGTGTATATGTGTGACACACACAAACTTATAAATAAGTGGTCCTGCTGCATGGAAAGTGAATAGGAATAAAGACTGATTTGCACTATTTTAGTTATATTGTAGCAGAATTTGAAAATCTTTTACATGTGGGCTACATTAACTGCTAAAGAATGAAAGGATTTCTTGGTTGTGGGGCAAGTTGTGTCCAGTAGGGAAAGTAAGCTGATTCTGTCCTGTGGGAATGGCTGGAAGACCAGAGAGCTTTGCAGCATGGCAACAAGTTGATTCCAGGCTTGATCAAGAATTTACAAGTCACCAAGGTAATTAATGACTTAAAATGGGAGGAAAGGGCATTTAGTTTTTACAGGGAACCACAACTTACTTTTTCAGTTTAAATTAACCACTGCTATTCTTTAAATGTCTCAGAGACACTAGGGAAAAAATGAACTTGTTTGTCTTTGGAATTTTAATAGCCATTACGATTCTTCATAATAAACATAACCAAAATACAATCTCTTGTCAATCAAACCAACTAATGAGATAAGCAAAAGAGTAGATAGCCAGGGAACAATATCCAGTTGACTGACAGGTGCCCACAAACTCTTTTGAATACACAGGCAGCATAAAGAGAAATTAAAATATTTTCTTTTTCTTTATTTATAGTAGGATGATGCAAGGGAATCTCATCTTAAACAGTGAAAGGTGAAGGAGCTTTTCCTATGGGCCACGAAGCATTTTGAGCCTTCATATATTTCAAGGGTGCAGTTCTGCGTGCTTAATCCAAATTCACCCATGGCAGAAGGGACAGCCCAAGTTGTAAAGGGCATTTACTTTCCCCGATATGCTTTCGCTTGTAATGTCAAATGGCAGTAAGTTTTATAGAAGCATGAGTACAAACACGGAGTACAAAGAAACACCTAATCTGCCTAAGTGCACTGATTTTCCCAGAACGACAGTGTATGTGGCAAAATGCCTTTTCTAAATGTCAAAAAATGGCTGTCTGAACTCTGCAGGTCCCGTGGGTGGCTGCACAACTGTTAGGCAGCGCTCTACACTACATTGCTTGTGTCCCCTTTCAATTACACTGTTAGATGCATTAAGCCTTGTCATGCAGCACAGGAGACAATTTCACCCGACTGGGTGTATGCAGACAGCCCTGTGTCTGAATGGTTCGAAATCAAACGTGAAACTCAAAGGATTATATTTTGCTTGGTTTCAGATCAGTAATTTGCAAAGCCACCAATATTGTAGACTTTCCACTAGGAGCACCAGTATAGTAGGAGCTACTTGAAGTTCTCAGGATTACTTCAATTTCTTCCAAAAAACTACAAAAACTGACAAATCTGCTAGGGCGTCCAGGCTTATAACAACTTGATCCTGGAGGGCTGGAAATGTTTGGCTATGACATGTAGAGAAATCTAGCATACTTGAGCCACGTGGTTCCAATCAAATACTAAGCTTGTTAATGTAGTCATCTGCAAGTCCACAAACTGAGAAACAAACAAACATAGATAACATAGATCATATATACTGGACCAAATCAGGGAAATGTGTAACTCTAATGAAGTCTTATGAGTCATTCTAGGCAAAGGGCTGCACATGAAGCATGTAACGCTATAGCGAGAATGACTGGAATTATGGGTGATCTGTTTTCCTGTAGCGCCTCTCAGGTTGTGCATATGCTAGGCAACACAGCCTCTGGCTCCAAATGTTCCTAATCTAAGTATAAAATGTGAGCAAAGTTCTTTGAGTGTTGAGAATTGGAGTCATGAGCAGGGCTATAGAAGTGATGTTCCCTTTCTTACATAGCGTTGGTGAAATTACTTCTGAGAATCACTGCCAAGGGAAAAAAATGCAACTCCGATTCCAGTCTGTTTCCATGTACAAAAAGAGCACCAAAAATGTAACTGCAAGTAAAGCACAAAAACGTGACAGTGAAGGTAATTAATCAGTGGAATAGACTACCAAGAAATGCAGTAGAATCTCTATGCTTTAGAAATGTTTCATCAAAGTTACAGATCTTTATTAATGTTATATTCTAGTTCAACTATTGGGCCTGATTGCAGGAATTACTAGGTCAAATTCAATATTATGCAGGAGGTCAGACTAGTTGTTCTTAGTAGTCCTGTCTAGCTTCAAATTCTATGGGCCTATGACTTTTCTGCAGCTGTAGTGAGTGTAAATAGATGTAATCTTATTGATATTGCTTCCTGCATGCCTTTCTCCTGCTCATGAATAACCATTTCTTTCGTTGTGATTTTTCTAATGCAACCAAATATGAGTTTGTTTCAAAAAACTGAATATGTGCCCATGCAACAGCTACCGTTTGACTCCCTCTGGGAAGCCGTGACCACCACCTCTCTGCCTGAATAGAGGGTCCAGCCCTGGGGCTTATGTCTGCCTGGTATCTTTGTGGGAAGAGAATAAGGAAGTATGAAGACGCAGAGGAAAAACATGTCTTCAGGAACTTATTTCGTAAGGTATTGTGGTCCTCAGGAAGTGTGGGTTGGGAAGCAAAAATTAGTCCCGAGGCACATGGATTTATTGTCGAAGGTAAAAGAAAAATGCAATGTATGAAGTAGTTGTGCTGGCTAATTATACAGCAGCATGACTACATAATTGATCTCTCACTAAGCACACGTTTGACATGCGTGTACATACACTGCCACTAAAGTGCTTAATTTGGTGTGCATGTTGTTCACCGGAAGAGTTAACAAACACTGACCTGTGTGTCCTCAGATCACTGTTTTGTGTGCTGCACACTCTTAACGGACACCTAAGGACATAATATGACATACAACTTTGGAACAATGTTTGCCAGTAAAAGCTGCAATGTAAAGTATACCGCAAATGTGAAATTAATTACCTAGCTGGGGCTAACGCCAAACTTAATATTTGCAAGCTAAACTAGGCCAAGGTGAGCTAGGGACATAATTACAAAGGGAATACAACTGCTGTTTAACTCACCAGTAAAGCTAATAAGAGTCAAACCACTGGTGCTGAAATAACTGTCATAAGCAGTGCCCTATTTTTTTAACCATATAGGAGGAGGATACGATAGAGAATGAGGTGACTGTAAATGAACAGATGAATTAAGTGCGGTTTTGGATTGAAATTGAGGTGTTACTTTCCTGCAGATTTAATTCTTGTAAATAATTTGCCATTTCAAAGCTGTAATGGTTCTGATGAAGGAATGCACATGCGCTAATCAGGTTTCCAGAGAGTTTCCTGTACTGAGGAAAACTCACTGATTTGTTTCTAGGTCTGAGGTCACTCCAAATTTTGGCAGGGGGCTGCAGGGTTTTGAGGGATTCCATTTCCTCTTTTCCAAAACAATTTTCTTTTTAACTTTTCCTTTGTATGCAAAATCTTACTTTTCTGAATTTCAATTCCAAATTGTACAACAACATTTTTGTAAATAAGAGGTTTCCCTCAAGCTACACTTTCCAGTTCTTGCCCAGCTCTAGATTTGCAGGATGTCTGTGGGTGAAAGTGAGAATTAGGAGATGAGAAAGAAGTTGGTGAAAAGTGGGTTGTCTAGAGAGGACCATATTGGAATAAGTGAGGTGTGGACAAAGACTTCAGCAATAAGGATATTTTTAGATGATGCTTTTAGACTCAATGAGATCTTAAGTGAGTGGATCCTCTTTTCTGAAGGGATAAAATGTTCCTCTACACTCCTCCCACTCTGTTAAGCAAAATAGTTCAGCTACTCACTCAAACATTGGAATCAGGTTCCCATCTTTCATGTGTTCACAGACCACTAAAGAAAATTTTCACTCCTTTCCCAGGCAGTTGCACAGTTCTCATTCACTTTGGTCATATAAGGTTATGTCCCTGCACAGTGATGTTTTCTTCTTTCCTGCCAGAATGTCACTTATTTGAGCACAAACATGTAACTGCTGTCATAATAATAACCATGGGTGAATTGCTGTTCTGAGCTGATTCCTGGTGAGCGATTTGTTTTTTGTGTGTAAGGAGAGGTGGGTAGATAGCCCACCTTTTTTGTCTCAGGGGGGTAATAATCTACTGTATTGCCAAAAGATATATGGCATAGTCATTCAAAACTGAACATTTGTCTGGATTACTCCATCTTAGTGTTAGTTACTGCGTAGCTTTTGTACACTTGGAACAGCAAATAATTACATCACATCATCATTGCTGGGAAATGCTTGTTTTTTAGTTGTCCGTGTATATAATTTTAATTCGATGCAGCATTTCACGAGGAACTTCTATTAAACTAAATGTCACTCCTCCCCTGTGAATACCAGTATGTTGTCCTGGGAAAAATCACTACATCCTCTTTCCTAAACTTTGTGTGCAAAAACGATATCTGCAGTTTGTGCCCCAGGTCATAAGGAAATGTTAGTATCTACTGGGACTGCAGTGAGACTAGTCATACCCAATCAAGGGACATATGCAGGTTTAAGGAAAAAAAAAAAAAAAAAGGAAGCCTCAGTGCTGCCGTCCCCTTGGGGACATGAAAAATCTTCGAGCTAGTTAGGTTTAGGTTAGCAGATATAAACTTAATGAAGTTTATTTGGCCAAACCTATGCTAAAAACATTTAAAAAATAGTAGTTTTCCGCTTAGCCAGGGTCATTATTAATTAGGTGGATTTGAAGAAATGTGTTCACTGTACAACACTTGATAACAAAGCTCTTGTGATATTTCTATACTGGACTGCAAGCTAATACAGCCATAGTGGCTTTTCACTTCCGTGTCTGAGGACCAAACAAAGCTGCCTTTGCCCAGTATTTCATGACATTTAAAAATAATGTCCTTTGAAAAAAGGAAAGAGGAAGAAAAAGAAACTGTGCTGCTTTGTCAGGAGAAAATTTCCTTTGTGTCTAATGCAGTTCCCCAGAACAATGTAGACCTGCTTTACAGTCACCAGAGCTGTGCTCATGGTTCTGGGAGGTAGTCCTCTACACTTGGCACAAATCTACTCCTCTCACTCTTTGCCTGGCAAAGTTGAAATTTTTCTAACTCCATAAATCTTGAGCCAAGACTCCTCCTTCCCTCCCACCACCCTCCCGCAACCCACTTCTTATCGCTGCGCATCAAATTATCGTGTTTATAAAGGCGGTGTGAAGCAAGAAAGCGTTTGTTTTAGAATGCCGTTATATGCAGTATTACTAGCAAAGACAGTCATGTAACTTAAAGATTTTTAAAAACTGCCTTTATCTCCAGGACCCATTGTGGGAAGGCAAGATATATAGGTTTGGGACTTTGTTTTCTTTAAAGAAATCTAAATCTATGCTTCTAATGACTATGAAAGAAACATGAAGGAAATGTCTCTGTTTTTAGCCAAAACCTTTTCTTGTGCGAATTGCACATATGGTGTCATAGAAATATCAACTGAATAAGTGCTGCTTTCATCAAGTTACAGAGTAAAAGGAAGGGGAAGAGAAGGAGGTGCAGAAGAAGGATTTGTAGGCCATGTGGGAAAAGAGGAAGAGGAGATGCAAATTTCAGTGTTGTTTAGTTTTCGAAAGCATAGGTAAATCTTGCTGTCGGAAATGCTATTAGACAGGAAGCTTCCATTTTTCCTTATACTCATTTCTGTTGGTGTTTTTTGTGCATTAATCTAATACTATTTCATAAGGGAATAAGGAGATAAATTCATTTTATAAGATGTAGTCTCAAATTTAGTCAGTGCCTTCCAAATCTGGCGATTTACCTCATTGAAGCCCTTCAGCTTAGCCTAAAATTAAGTATAATTAGCATAAAAAAATCAGCCATTACCATAAAATTAACCACAGCAGCTCCATCTGTATGATTAGATGGCTCCAAGTTGCCTGCATTGTTTCTGCTCCCACAGCTTTTGCCCAGAAAGCACATTTGCAGTGACAACTTGGTCAGCGGTCTGTCACGGGAGTGAATGTTTGCACTAACACTCATGACTTCTTCTCTGTCAGAGTGTGGGAATGAGCATTTCTTCATAGGGTGTGAAAGTTCGCACAAAGCAGGTAGGAAAGGACTGCGGAGAGTGCAGTTATCTGCCCATGTTTTCAGCGTTCATTCAGCATGCATTGCAGGTTCCCAGCTAGCACTTCAAGACTTGCTTATTCTTTAAAAGGACCAGGAATATTTTTTTAGAGTCAGCAGCAATGACAGAAGAAAACCCTGCAGTACCAATGTTTGTTTCCCTTTCGCTCAACTCACATCACCAAAACACAGAGGAACATATTTCAGCCAGAAAGACAAAACCTTTCCCACTGACATTTGCTACCTGGAAGCTGGATGGCGTGTGGGGTGAGAGGGAGGTCACGTTGGCTCCCTTCAGGCTGGCTGTGACGGCTTGGCACGGGTTCGCTGGCTGCAGTTAAGCTGCCACTTCTGGCCTGAGTGACAATTTGGCAGGGTGCTCAGGTGCAAGCGGCAGAGCAGCAATCTGTTCCCTTTCCCAGCCCTCCTGGCCAGAGCAACCTTCGTGCTCTCGCTTCAGCCTGGAGCTCCCTCCCCGTATTTTATCTGTGTGTGCGAGTGCGTGTGTGCCTTTCCCTGCGGTTGTGGCATTTGTAAGACACCAGCGTTTGCTCCATCTGGCTCCCGAGTCTACGCTGCTTCTCATGGCAGTGGGAATGCAGGTTCCATTTCAGAAAAGATGTGGTCACCATTTTTTCCTTCTGTTTTATTCCCTGACATGCAGGTGGCACTGGGGTCACCGTGCGAGGGCCTTTCCGCTGAGACTCGCTCAAAAATTAATATGAACTGCGACCAAACAGCTCCCTGACCATGCCTCCTGCACCCTTCTGCCTCCACCGTCCTTTTGACCTCATCTAGGAAGACGAACCTAGAGCTCGTTTAGGCCTCTCTGCTGTCAGAAAATGCTAGTTTGCCAGAAATGAAACATTTTGCAGAAGTGCAATTCAGCCCTTTGTTGGCAGGCTGTTTTTAGGTGCAGAGGGCAGTGAAAGGAGAAGGAGTGGGCAGACAAGGGGATGAAAGGGTGAGAGACGAGAAGAGCTGGTGTCAGGAGATCGCATTCCTTCACCTTGCCATAGCCAATATGTGATTACCTTCAGGCATAGGATAGGAGCGCTCCCTACAAATCCCTTGTCTGCCTGATTTTCAGCAAACTCTGTGCATGTATGCATTTGAACTCAGGAGACAAGGGAGGCCTAAGAAACAATTTCTGTTTTTGGGAGGGGTTGGTTTGTTTGTTTGTTTTATCTTTTAAAAAGGTGTTTTTCTCAACATTACAGTGAAAAATTCCAAAAGCTTCCTGTATTTCACAACATTTTCATATTGTTTTCCTGCCAGCCATGCTATACTATTATGGTAAATATGACCATTTACACAATAGGCGTTGTGAAGAAAGAGCTAGCAGTGAGCAGCTATAAACCATGATGAATAATCAGGAAATGAGCATCATCAGTCAAACGGTTGGAACTGCACATTTTTGGAGCGCAGGTTTTGCTGCTGAAGAATCAATGTATAAAATGACCAGTTTGCTCTCTAGTCTTTGATTAGACATTATGCCTAACCTGATTTT